TCGCGGCCGCTGCGCTTCCGAATGCAGCAGCTCGAGGCCCTGAAGAGGATGGTGCAGGAGCGCGAGAAGGACATCTTGTCAGCCATCGCGGCGGACCTGAGCAAGGTGAGCGACCGCGGGTGGGAGGGACCCGGCGCGTCCCCTTATTCCTGCGCTGTAACTGGTTGTTTTGTTTGTCCAGCAGTGTAGAGGAAGCAGTTGCTCCGGACTCTCCAGCCCTGCTTAGAGCCCAGACTGTTTATTTGCACTTTCGTTGAAGTGTGTGCTTTGCCTGGTGCTCGCAGTTTCTCTTCTGCGAATGCTGGTGCTAGGCTTGCCCATCTCTACTGTATTTGTGGTTTCTTTCCTTACAGTGTGCCCTTAATTCTCTGGATATTCTGGGTGTCAGTAGTTTGTCCGCTCCGTAGATTCAGATATTTCACTCCCTGTCTTATTTCTCAACTTTTTAAAATGGGTTCTTCTTGTAGACAGTTTTTTTTTTAAATATTTTTCAACACTCATATTTTCCTTTGACTTTGTGATCGTGTACCATTAGATATGTGTTGCTTAAACTCTAGTACACTGACAATCACTCCGGGGACCTGTCTGAGATTTCTAATGAGGTCCCAGGTGATAGAAGCAAGAGGCCTCTTTAGAAGCAAGCTTTGAATGCCAAGGTTTTAAGTAGTGTTTGAGGTATAACTATATTCTCCTGTATTCTCCAGTAATTTTCTTTCTTTTTACCTCCTATCTGTATTCCAGGCATAGTAGGACCTTTATTTTTAGATTTGCAACCCTCCCTTCCCCAATCAAAGACTATTTCAAAAGGCGGTAACAGTAGGCGGAGTACTTCTGCCGTCAGGGTACTTTTGGTGATAGTAAACAAAGATAGGACAATGAATATTAAAACCATATGAGTCATCCTTTCTACCAGCATCAGATATTTTGTGTAGGTTTGTCCATACATAGGGTTACTGAAGAAATATAAGTCCAGAATTTTAAACCATTCTGCAAAATGGAGCATATATAAAGTGTGACTATGGTTATAAACCGTGTGCTGGGGATGAAGTATTAAGATACAGCTCAAAAGCAAAATTACCACAGTACCTAAATTGTGACTGAGGCAGGTTGTTATTAATCAGGGAGTTGTTGCTGAAAAATCATTTTTAACCCTAATTTTAAAAAGCTTGAATCAGTAGAGAAGAATTCAGAGGCATTGAAAATCTTAGAGAAAAAGAGCCAGCAAGAATATCCAGGGTGAGTCTTATTGAGAACTTGGAGGTTTGAAAAAAATGTGATAGCAAACTTGGAGGAGGGGTGCCTAATAATGCCAGTTGTCGCTGCAGATATACTTGGTGAGCCTGTCACATCCTGAGCCAGCAGCTCTCAACCCTTTTGCTGTATAATAATCAGCTGCTGGAACAGGAAACTTCCACCTACATCCTTTAATACAGTTCCTCATGTTGTGGTGACCCCAAGCTGCTGCTGCTGCTTTTCTTCTTCTTCTTCTTCTTCTTCTTCTTCTTCTTCTTCTTCTTCTTCTTCTTCTTCTTCTTCTTCTTCTTCTCCTTCTTCTGATTTATTAATTTATTATGTATACAGTGTTCTGCCTGCATGTATGCTCACACACCAGAAGAAGGCATCAGGTCCCATTACAGATGGTTGTGAGCCGCCATATGGTTGCTGGGAATTGAACCTGGGTCCTCTGGAAAAGCAGCCAGTACCCTTAACCTCTGAGTCATTTCTCCAGCCCTCATTGCTACTTCTTAACATTGTTACTGTTCCAAATCATAATGTGAATCTCTGATATGCAGATTATCTCATGTGTGGCAGCTGTTGAGAACCATTGTCCTAAGCCAAGTATACTGTACTCACTATGTAAGATTAACTGATTTTCTTTTCCAGAGTGAACTCAATGCATACAGTCATGAAGTCATTACTATCCTTGGGGAAATTGATTTTATGCTGGCAAATCTTCCTGAATTGGCTTCTGCTAAACCAGCTAAGAAGAACTTGCTTACCATGTTGGATGAGGCCTATGTTCAGCCAGAGCCCCTGGGAGTTGTACTGATTATTGGAGCTTGGAACTACCCTTTCGTTCTCATCATGCAGCCACTGGTGGGAGCCATCGCTGCAGGTCTGGTGCCAGCTGATGTCTTTGTTCCTGTGTAGAGGGTCATACTGTGTCATAGTGGTTGTAAGCTAATGATAGTATCTAGTTAAATACATTTACTTTGGTGGTTTGCCTATGTTGACATCAGCAATTTATTGAAAATTCATATCTGTACTTCTGTTTATGAATGCTGAAGTACCTAGGGGATGAATCTGTTTAGAGTCAAAGGCATCTGAGTCAGTAGTCCAGGATCTTAGAGTCAGGCATCCATATTCTAATGTACTTTTAGTTGCTGACTCTGCCTTTAGAAAACAAGCCATTTGGTTTCATTTGACCAGTTTCTTTCTTCAAATAAAGGTATTAGGTGTGATATTAATTAGAGTGTACAGCAAATCTCAACAGATTGATTTCTAAGTTTGTCAACAGCTTATGTTGACCTGGCCTGTTTGCTCAGTGATTCTAGGGCAGAGAGAGAAAACCATGGTAGAACTGCAAAGAAATAGACATCTGGGCAGTGTGAGAGGCTGGGAGAACCTGTTGTCAGTGACTTGAAGATACTGAGAGCTAATGGGTTAGCACTTGGGAAGGAAAACATGAAAAGAAAGAGGACATGTGATACGAGGTAGGACAGATTTAAGAGCGGCAGAAATAAGTGAAATTTAGTATGTACCCTACACAAGTATCATTTTGGAAGCTGTTAAAATTATTCAAGTATTGGATGATGATGTTCTGCTATTCACTTTATTCAGGAAATGCTGCGATTGTTAAGCCTTCAGAACTAAGTGAAAACACAGCCAAGATCTTGGCTAAGCTTCTCCCTCAATATTTAGACCAGGTAAGAATATCTTGGTCCATCTTCAACACATCTGTTTATGGTGGAAAACACAGATTTGACTCTTCTGCTACAGATGTCATTGCTGGTTATGATCTGTGTGGTTTCCTTAAGTCTCCAACAGTCAGTTTAATAAAGGAAGCCAGGTTCCAAAATACACTAACCCAGCAACTGTGGTAACATAGTGTATTTAGGCCTGTGGCTTTATATGTGTCTCTTATCTTTTTCTACCATTTGACACTTTTAGGATACAATTTTAGACATCATTCATTTAGTGAAATAGTTAATGAGAGGCTAGCATGTTTTTGTCACTATCTTTTTTTCCCAGCAGAACATCATGTGTGTTGTTATTACATGAGTACTCTGCTTTTTCAAGGCATGTCTGCGGCCTAGAAAAAAGTGCCTTCCTGAACTAGCACTCCGAGTTAATGTGTAGGCACTGAGAGCATCAAAGGCTGACTAGGGAGAGTGATACCCCAGCTTTTGGGTAGGGGATCAGATTCAGAAGTTCTCATGACCTCTGGAGAGGAAGCTGATTGCTTTATGACTGCTGGGTTCCACATGCAGTTTTGCAGGGGAGATTTAGCTTTCATCAAAAGGCAATCTTAAAATACCTGATTTATATTCTCTTAATTTGTAATGTCTCTGAGACCAATTCTAGTTCTTAGAATAATTTTGTTGTCCATATTGTCTTAACACTGTCATCATAGCTCACAGAATAATTTGGTCCTAATAGCTTGGTTATCCAATCTAGCAGGACTAAAGGAAGACAGTGAGTGCTATGGATTGAGTAGGACTTGGAACCAGAAGATCCAAGTTGACTGTCCAAATGGGGAGGATGATAATGTACCTGCCTCACTTAACTGGTGGGCTAATTTACCTGTGGATTAAAGAAATATTAAAACTTAAAGTGCATTAGTCAATTGAACTACAAAGTGACTAAGAACTAATTAGCCTTCTAATGAATGAGAGACCAAAGGAGGACCAAATGAGGTTGACAAGCCAGCTTATACATCATACAGCTTAGACACTTGCAAACATCTCCTGTTTTCCTTGTCATTTGTTATCAATCATTACTTTTTGCCCTTGCTGTTATTATTCAAAGTATTTTCTCTCAAAATAGCTACTTAATGGTAGTATTGTGAGAGTGATGGGTATTGTACAGATGTTATGTGACTTTCCCAGTAACAAGTTCAGAGATTGCCTAAGGTTCAGTAGCTTGCCTAAAATCACAGATGCTAGTGAGTAGCAGAGCCTAGATTCAATCCAGATCTACTTCAAAAGCAAGTGCCCTCAGCTACAGTGCTGTCTCCTGTTCATTGACTTTGGACTTAGACCTGCTGTACTTTGTATTGTGTAGAGAGAGAAAACTTTGGGATTAAGATGTGTGTGTCTGCAGGGCTGGAGATGCAGCTCAGGAGGTAGAGCGATGGCCTAATGTTTGTACGAAGCTCTGGGTTAGATCCCCAGCACTGTGCAAAACACAACAAAACAGCAACGAAAGTCCCTCATAATACCCTCCCCTCGTCTTACACATTTCCCCTGTTGGATCCAACTTTCATTTGTGCTTTCATTGCCAAGCTCATGTAGAAAATATTGGACTCTGTCTCTGAGTCAGTCTGAGGTTGATGGTTCCTGGTCACCAGCAGATCCTATGTCCTCCATCTGTCTTGGGTCACCTCCCTGATCTGTCCCTCACAGGAGATGATCTTGGTCTTTTGGTTTTACTGAGTGCTACTTATTTGTGTTGAAGAATTGCTGATGTGAGGAGGTTAGATTAATTTGACAATGCAAGAATCTGTTTCTCTTTCTTGAGGACCTGTATTCGGTTGTTAATGGTGGTGTCTCGGAGACCACAGAGCTCCTGAAGCAGCGGTTTGATCACATTCTCTACACAGGAAACACTGCAGTGGGAAAAATTGTTATGGAAGCTGCTGCCAAGCACCTGACCCCTGTGACCCTGGAACTCGGGGGGAAAAGCCCGTGTTACATTGACAGAGACTGTGATCTGGACATCGCTTGCAGGTGAGACTGGCTTTGCTTTCCTGAGGTTTCTCCCAGCAGGTGGAAGTTTTTGCTAATGGCTTGTTTTCCTTTACACTTGAACCTCATGACTTCTGGCTTCAAGGTTCATCAGACTTTAGTGGTTGGTGTGCCCAAGAGTAACTGGAACTTCTCAAACTGTCTTCTGATGCCACTGCTGGAATAGGGAGCCACACATAGGTCCTGCTAGCATGTACTTTTCCTCAGAAAGTTTGGAAATATTCTTATGGATAAACCTGGCAAGAAATTTTGCCCAAAGTTGCTTTTTTTTTTTTTTTTTTTTTTTTTCCCCAGTGTTGGGATCAAATTATGGTAAGCCTGTGCTCCACAGTAAACTACACCCTGAGCCTGTGGCAGGAAAGTCTAATGCCTTGCTGGTTGATGAGATAGATAATCCAAAGGGTTCTGTGTATTAATAACAATTCTCAGTTGAAAGGGTATTGTGTTCACTTCTTAGCTGAGTTCCTTTGTTGACAAAACAGAATGACAGATATTTTTAATAGCATATTGCAGCTGGGAACCAGAAAATAAGAATTCAGTTTTTCTTTACTAAGTTAGGTTTGACAGATAGGAAATGAATGTGTCTGTGCTCTGGGTGATGTGGTATCTCCCCCTTCAGAGCTGTGGTGCTGAGGGGATAGGGAGTTGGGTCAGAGTTGCTGTTTGGCCTCTTTAAATAGAGCATAACTTCCAGAAAATGAGACCAGCATTGAATGCTGAGGTTTTGGACTTTGTCTATATGTAGGAAGAGGAAGGGTCCACATGGAGGAGCATGGTAGAGGACACTGGCTGTACCCTCTTTATACCTGCACAGTCTGTCAGCAGTACTACACCCTCGGAGAGCAGAATCTGAGCTGTGTGCTCATCCAGAATGACCTTTGGCTGGATAAGAAAGGAAGTAGTGTTGGGAGGCTGTTTCCTTTCTCTGCAGGCTGTGTCTTCATAGCTTGTTAGGTGCTATTTACCAGACTGACTCTGGGAATTTTCTTGCTACTTAGAATATTTTACCTCAATTGAAAGTACATTCTGAGGGCTGGAAAGATGGCTCAGAGGTTAAGAGCACTGACTGCTCTTCCAGAGGACCCAGGTTCAATTCCCATCATCCACATGGCAGTACACAGTTGTCTGTAACTCTGGTTCCAGGGGATCTGGCACCCTCACACAGGCATACATGTAGGCAAAACACTAATGCACATAAAATAAAATAAGTAAATTATTTTTAAAACTATGCTTTCTAAAGGCTAGAGAGCTGGTTCAGTGGTAAAAGTATTTGATGCACAGATCTGACATCTGAGTTTGATACCTGGGACTCATGCTTTTAAAAAGTGAGATTCTAGCTGGGAGATGGTACAAGCACACGCTTAATCCCAGTACTCAGGAGGCAGAGGCAGGCAGATTGCTGTGAGTTCAAAACCAGCCTGGAACAGAGGGAGTTCCAGAACAGCCAGGGTTATATGGAGAAACCCTGTTTCCAAAAACAAAACAAAGCAAAAAATTCAGATTCTGAGTAGATGGGAGGCCTCAGTATGCAAGACCTCACAGCAGAAGAAAGAGGCACCCCGCCTCAGCAGGGTAGGAGAGAAACAACTCCCAAAATGTCTTCTAGCCTCCACGCATGCACAGTGGTGTGTGTGCATGCTTGTATGTGCTCACAGGCACACCAAATAAAAAAGAAATCTAAAAATGCATTTTAAGTTGTAACAAGGTGATCTATAGCTCAGAGTTTTTATTTATTTTGTTTTTAACAATCACTAACTAAATATACAAAGCCCTATCAGTTGGCTTGATGGTTAATCTTTGTCATCAACTTGATGGCATTTAGAATCACTATGGAAACAACTCTAGACAAGAAAATGAGGAATTA